GATATTTTAATGTTTTCAGCCATTCCTCATCTTTTCAACGGACCGAATGATGCACGCGTTGTGGGTCCTCATAACTATGCCCAAGCGATAATGGCTAGAGGACTCTTTGATAAGTGGAAACAGCCATTATTTCTCGATTTTGATAAACCCATGAGTAAGAAATTACTTCTCAAAGTAATTTCTAAACTCGAAAAAATTAATTATAAGGTCGTAGGTGTGACCAGCGATTGTGGCACAAACAAGAGGTATATTATTGTTAATAATAAAAGTGAATATAATTCTAACTAACTAACTAGTTAAACCAATATAATAATTTAATCAATATTAATTACATTTAATAATATATTTAACAATATAAAATATTAATAAATTTTGATTAAAAACTAATAATTTAAACTTTATTTAGATTAAATTAAATAAATTATTATGATTTAGCCATGAAAATGTTAATATCTTGCTAAAGAGTTAATTATTTATGCAATTTTTGTTGTGCTAATCAAGTCCTGAATATTAAGAGATATGAAACATTGATGCATGAATTTAAACACTCAGTAATGGGTCCATTGGGTAAATGGAGGGCTTCTGCTTTAAATTTTCTAATATTATTCAAGTTTAAAACTTGATTTTTCTTAGATCAAGTCTCGAAGCATTTGCCATGCTCCAAGCAGTTCATTTTTTCTTTCATTCGTTTTCTGAAAAATACCTAGTTTACATTTACTGGACAATTTTTAAGTGATCAAATTAGGATGAATATTGTGATGAATCACTCAGTACAGTTGATTTTTGAGAGTTCGAAACTTTCATCAGTACGAAGTGGACTGTTGTCCCTTTAGGAACATCTTGATAATTCGAAAAAAATCAATGCATTTTTCTCATCTTGATAATTCAAATTTTTTAGAAACCAGCGTAACCAAACTACCTCGATAATTCGAAATTTTAGAAAGAGACTCTCATTACTTCAAAACTTCTAGCAAGTCAACAACAAAAAGATACCAAAAAACCTCTCTGTCAACTGAAAACTCATTAATTTCCCAGAGTGACAAACACATGACATCCAGCATTTTTTATCCATTGTAAAGATGCGAATAAGGTGACAAAATTTGTTAATCCGTCTTCATTCTCACGATCTCTTTGGATTCTCTTTAATTCGAATTTTTTTAGCCCAAACCTCCTAATTTGAACACTTAATTGATTCAAAGACGTCACTAATTCAAAACTCTCGTTGCTACGAATTTTTCTCCAGTCCCTTGAAATTCGAATTATCGAGAGTTGACTGTAGTAGATAGGTGAAAATATCTTGATAAATGATTTTTGACTATGTTGAGTATCAGTAAAGTATAGCATGGGCAGCAAGCTGACAAAATGTTTCTCACCATTCTTTTTTAGTTTTGTTTTCATAGTTTGTTCTCCTCGGACTACATATTGAACAAGCTGCTCTTGACTAAAATGTCTGCTGCAAATCTTACTTTTGTAAGAATTAAATCTAGATTCTCTCTGCAAAAATTAATCCAGAGTTGCCTTCTTTGTTTGTCCCTGGGAAAGGGAAAGAAACATAACTCATGCTTTTCACTACGTTGCAGGGATGCATTTTCACAACCGGCAACACAACAGGTTTCACGAGATACCTGTAAAAAAGAAATGGAACATGAGATAAAGCAAATAAAAAGTACAAATTTTCTTGTTTATTACTTGAACGCGTGTTTGAAAATACAAACATAAGAGTCGCTTTCACAGCACTCTCTGGCACTCTACGACATATAACCGCCACAGTACCCTGTCCTCCCACAACAGCCCTTTTGGGAGGTGAAACTTCCTTATTTCCTTTTAAACCCCTGTCGCCATCCTTTCTTTGGGCATCCCTTTCATCTCCTCCCAGGAGGAACCAAATCAAGCATGCTCTTTAGGAGCCTTTCTTCCATCATCCTATTAATATAACCATGGAAGACAAGCTCTTTGATAATGTGGTCAAATACAATGTCATTTTCAACTCCCATGATCTGACACTCTTTATCATTACGGACCCGACCTCTTCAAAAAATCCATCTACATTGTTCTGAGCACACACTGTATGCAATTCATCAGCTGTCAAACTTCAAATCCACATTTTAAAATACTTTTCACAACAGCGTTGTAAATTCTCCTCTGTTAGAAGATCTATTTAAGTTTCTGAATGTTTCGTAAAATATGGATACAGCGTGTCAATATTGGAATTTTCTGTAGTTCAGCAGCTGCACATGATGATTAGAATAATGATAATAGTGATAGAAAATTACTCACTTCAAATTTGAGCAACACGAATTGCAAGTATATCAGATATACTTCAGGGGCAAACACGAACTTCTTAAAGACTATAGATATCTTCAGACAGAGAGATCTTTCCCTCTCCCTTTGTCTTTACGATAGAACTCATAAAATATTTGAAGTGCAAAATTTGAGGGGAGTCTTCATTCTCTCTGTGCCAACAATTTGAAGATTCTGTTTCTAATAATCACCATAAAATTCCTCTCTCTTTAATTTTAAATTAAATTTTTGGAATGAACATTGTAGTTGAAATAAATTATTGTGTTACCTCAATATTATTATCATCTTCCTCTTGAGATGCAATCGCTTCTGATGTTGAGAGTAGTGAATTCGGACATGCATTTGTTTCACAGGTGGAGAGAAGTAAATTTGGAATAGCTGCAAAAGGAAATTCATGAGAGATTAATCACTTAATCCAGAGAGGTGGAAAAATAGCACTCATCCAATTCAGAGGACTTCAACAAACTTTCTGTTCAAGGTCTCTGAGTGGGAAATATTACCTTTTTCCTTGGCAAATGAGGCTGTTCGTTCATGATACAACTTGATATTAGTATAATTGTTTGGTTGTATCGCTTAGTGAAGATTACCGATATCGTAAAAACTTTATTGATCGGCTTACTTTGCTGAAACTTTGCTTCTGGTTTTGGTTGAAGGCAGGCATCAGTTACAAAAGATTCTGATCAGTTTTTTTCAAATCAAACAGTTGTTTTGATTACATGTATCGTATAAAACCTTACAATTAAGGAAAGATAATACAGGAAATATTTACATCAAGAGAGAAAAAGTCCTGCTTTAAATATATGAGCATTAACTTTGAAGAAAAAGTAACTTTTAAATTTTTCCTTCTGAATTGAATTCTCATAAACTTTCTCAAGTGAGCATACAATAACCTAAAATGAAATGATAATCAGCTTTACTAAAAAATGCTTCTTTACGGACTGCTTTAATTTGATTTCACATGTATGTACTTATTTAAGTTCTGACAAATTAGTTGGCTCACTATTAGGGAGAAAAAAGACCCATCATATTGATCCTCACATTTAGTTCATAGCAAGAAGGAAAAATTGCTGGTGTAAGTTCAGAGAACGTATCTCGGATTGCGACATGGCGGATTTGTTGACAAGTTTTATTC